TGCTTAAATGATCAGTTTTATAAAGCTTATCTTTAATTGCCAGATGATATTAATTGAATTCAAGGTTTATATCTGATAACCTGTTTAAATGTTTCAGTGTTATTGAAATGCCCCTTTATTAAATCAACTTTTAATAAAGGGAGAATTTTCCTTCTTGATCTGATATGTTAAATTTCCATGGCAGGCCAAAAGAGTTTATGTTAATATTCTATGTATTACTTAGTAATCCTCTTTAAAATTGGCTTAATTAGCCCCACTGTATACTTTTGGTAAATGTGAATATTATTTTCAGTTGAGGCATTTTAAAATCTCATGCTTTGCTTTGATTAGCTTTGCTTTGCATTGCTTGACTTTCCCGTTTGGTCCAGTGACATTTTGCATGGTTTGCTTAACTGAATGGTTTTGTAGTTGTGAAATTACATAGTAAAGGATAATAGCTTCATTGTTAGATTTGTTTAATTGAATAATTATTATCTTCTATATTTTATAGATATTGACAGGATGATTCTTGTAGTATTTAGATCATATTTGAAAGAAGCATAATTGGAGGAGATCTCTTATGCAAGAATTAATACATACACATCATATAGAATTGTAGCACATTTTTGCCACGTGCATAAGCATTTACTGTCTTACCAGGAGACTCTGGCAGTAAAATGCAGATATCCCAGTAGTTCTTTTTCTAGTTAAACATTGTGACTTAAATCGTAGCTGATCCTAGCTTTCCCCAGAAGGCTTGATTTACAGAAATTGTTGTTTGATTCCAGAGTGCTAGGGAGGGCTAGATAGAAGGATTTGTACAAGATACAAGTTCTGTATACCACAGAGATATAGCGTTCTTTCATCTGCTGTCGCTACTCTATAACTACACAGACACAGTGGTAAAAACAGTCTTTTCGTTTTCTATGCAGTAGTGCTGAAAAGTGTTCTTCAGGGAGGTGGGGAAAGATTGTAGTAGGAAGCTATGGTAGCTGTTTAAGGAAAATAAAAACATTTCTTCTAAAAATTGATGTAATAGAAAACTATATTTTATTAATAATTACTTAGTAATCGTCATTTTTATTATTGTAGACAATGCAAACATTATCTAGAATTGTTTCTGTATTTCATTTGAATATAAAGTGTTGAGTGATACTGCTTAAAAGAATACAGTAAATCATTTCTAGAATATGTTGTTTTTAGGTTTTCATTCCAGCAGCTACTCTTTCATTAAGTAGTTCATGGTCTTTTTTTATTTATAGATGGATAGGGATATGTGTATATACACACACAGGCATATATATGAAACTTGACTGCTCAGGGTTTTTTTGTGTTTAACAGTAATCTGCAGTAAAAATGGAAGTAGTATTTCTCACTTGATAACTTTTATAATTATATCCCATTACTTTATTTTAGAAGATAGTTTTTCTTTCTTAAGCTAATTCTTTCTCATAATCAGACTTTAACTGCTTAGGAACTGTTTGACTGCAAATTGGAATAGAACTTGTTTTCATCCTTGTTTCCTGGATTTGCTTTCTGTTAATAGATTTTTAACCCAGGAAGTATAGTTTTTAGACCAGGGAATATGGCATTCTTAAATGAAAACATCTTTTTCTTCTACGTGACCATTTTTGTAGGATATAACATATAGTGTTCTCTAAATGCAAAATGGCAAAATATACTTCGTTAGCTGGCTTTTTAATTAAGTCTAGTATAGCCAGAAAACAAAATGGCAGACATGCTTCATAATTGATTTGTTTAAAAGTGTTATGTTCACTTTTCAGTCTTTCCCTCTCAGCCTGCTGATGATGAATCAAGTAGTGATGAAACCAGCAACCAGTCTAGTCCTGCACTGAGAAGGCGACGTGCAAAGAAGAGGTTAGCATCTAGCTCTGAATCGGAGGTGGGGCTATCTAATGAGCAGGAAAATGTACCTCCCAAAGAAGAGAGACAGAAGCGCCAGTTCAGTAGCGGCCTTAATCGGTGCATTATACTAGCTTTGGTGATAGCAGTCAGCATGGGATTTGGACACTTTTATGGTAAGTATGTAGCAAATGGATTCATTTACATAATTTTCAGGGATGGTCTGTAAAATGCATATTTGAAATACTAGTGTATTGAGATTTTTCTTTTAATTCAAATTAATTCATCCTGGTATGTCAGTAGCTTCATTTTCTAGTATTCTTTTTGGTTTAATCAGAAGTACAGGTTGTAATAACAAGTAACTTTTATTCCTTAATGTTTTGTCCAGGGCTTTCTTAACTCATATAATAAAAAGCTCATAGGAATGTATCCCATTTATACAAACTTGTATATACCTATTTTACCCTTAGATAGGAGGATATGTTTTATTTCTTGTCTTGTCTTTTAGCTTGTTAACCCTCATAGACAGAAAATATATTGCTCTGTTCATAAATAATAATGTGCAATTACTTCAATAAATACCTATTACTAATAATAATTTTTTTCAGTTTGTTCACCTTTAAACAATTTTTTTTTTGTTCTTGAGCTGTTCTTTCAGTTATACTTATTGTTGCTGATAGGATAAAGGAAGACAATTCTGGCTTTAATATTTGTCTTCTGTTTAAAAGGCATTATGTAAAATATCTCTTGAAAGTGTACCATAATTCTCCATGCACTTTGTGGGCATACTGATAAAATTCAGCATAGCAGTGACTTCTCTTTAGTCTTTTGTAGCGCTGTCCGAAGAGTCCACTACTACCAGAACAACTTAGTATATCATAACTGAATGATTGTCTCTTGAGAACTGTTCACTTAAAGATACTTGACTGGTGGGTGCATATCACACCCCAAAGCATTCATCAGAGACTTTTTTTGTCATAGGAATACCTGTACAGCAGGGGTGGGAAAAATACTAGGGCTGTGTGCAATTTTGACAACCATTTCGTTTCAGAGGTGTTTCGGGCTGTTTTGACACCCAAAACACCGAATCCGAATCAAAACGGAAGGCTCCAAAACAAAACTGAAAGCTCTGAAACGTTTCGGAAATGTTTCTGAGAATTTCAGAGCCGGGCTTGCAGGGAAACAAAAACTAACAGGAAGGAGGAAGAGGGAGGGAAGGACTGCTCTGCTATTGACATTTAGCTCCTGGTTTGATTCCCCAGCTCTCTAATCGCTTCCCCCAGTTCTCTGATCATTTCCCCAGCTCTTCCTGGGAGGTGCGGCCCCCGGATCTGTGCGCACGGGGCCGCACTGGGTGGGGCTAGTGGCAGGCACTCGGCGGCGCCCCCGGGGGGCTAGTGGCAGCCACTCGGTGCAGCCTGAGTCTAGTGCTGGGAAGATTGCGGTGCTGCCGCTGGCTCCAGCCTGCCGGGAAGTACTCAGTGCTGGTGCTGGTCCCAGCCTGCAGCACCAGCATACTGTCATCTCGCATGCAGATCCGGCAGCCTGCGCCCCCCAGGTGGGCTGTGGGTCTGTGCCGGACTCTTTCTGGGGGAGCGTGGGCTCCCAGAAATGCGTGCAGGATGACAGCCTACTGCCGCTGCTGACAAGTGATACTAGTTTTGCTTTGAACAGTTTGAGGTGCAGTGTCACAAAAAACCTGCACCTGTCTCTTTGAAACTTGGCAGACTTCATGCCCTCAGGCGGGGCTACCATCCCTGCAATTTTCATCTGAATCAGGCAAGAAGTGACAAAGTTAAAGGTATTTTAGTGATTCCCCATTATAACCTATGGCCGAAACACCAAAACAACGTCAAAACTCCAAAAGAGATTTGGCCACATTGAAACGGGACAGTGATCCAAAACACCAAAATGAGTCACTGTCCCTCTGAAACGCTGAATCCGAAACCAACACAACACATAGCTCTACAAAATACAGCCCGCAGGCCAGATCTGGCCCACCAAACTATTTTACGTGGCCTGTGGTTGCTCCTCTGAAGGAAAACTGTATCCAGTCCATGGCTTCCTTAGCTTTCTTTGGCTCTCTTCCTTCTCCCTTCCTCATGACAGTCAGCTGCAGCAGCAGTAGCCCCTCCCCTCCCCAGCTAATCCATGCTGTCCTGCCCCCCAGCTCCTATTGTAAGCTCCAAGGCAGGGGGCGCTGAGCTCCTAGCCAGGCTTCTGCCCAGAGGGTCTATTTGCATGCTGCTCCAAGCCTGTGCCCGGAAGTCAAAGCTCAGGTAAGGTTCTCCCTCCTGCCGGGGCGGGGACCCAGAACCCGCGGATTATCCGGGCTCTGCTGGGCTGGGGCATGGTAGGGGTGCAGGCACTTTGAGCCATGTGGGTGCAGGCACTGGCGCCACACTGTATTCCCACACAGCTTCAGGCGACTCCAGGTGCACCCACATGGCCCAAAGTGGTGCGCAGGAACACTGCTTGGCACCGGCTTGACCAGGTCCAGATAACTCCAAGCTCCCTTCTCCCTGCACCCCCTTCCCAGCCCCAAGTTGGCATGCGGCTGTGCCAGTCCTACACTGTATTCCCACATGCCACCTTGGGCCATGTGGATACAGCTGGTGCAGCTCCTGCCCAACCTGGCTGCGTGCCAGGCACTTGGGACAGGGGGGTGCAGGTACAAGTGGGCTGGGAGAAGCGGGTCATCCAGGCCCAGCCAGGCCAGTGCTGCGCTCTGTTTCCCACCTTCTCCCTGCACTCCCTCCCCCACCCGAATCCCTGGTACATGGCCAGATTGGGTAGGAGCTACACCAGCTGGACCCACGTGGTCTGAGCCACCATGTGGGAATACAGCATGGCACCAGCTTAGGGCTAGGGAGGGAGTGCAGGGAGAAGTGGGGGGACAAAGGTTAGGGTCCTCTAACCTTTGTTCTTTCTGTCCAGGGGTGGGAAATTTTGGGGGCCACCGGGCCCCTTAGGCCAAGGGAGTTTTGGTGAACTGTTGCAGGGGGGAGTGGGGCATTGCTGTCCCAGCCCACAACAGCTCACCCAAACTCCGTAAGTGGTCCTCTGGCCCAAATAATTGACCACCCCTGCTATGGAGTATTCCCTTGGCCCTGCCACCATTCCTGGCTAAGGGGATAATGGGGAGTGAGCACTTCCTGCTCCTTAGTTCTACTCAGCTGCCTGGATGAAACTGTTCAGTCCACGCTTTCTCCTGGGCACGTTATACCCACTTTTCTTCAATAATTTGCTTTTATTTAATTTATATTTCTTTACCTTTTTATTTACCTGGATTTTGTTTTTGTTGCTCTCCTCTCCATTTCTGTGGGGAAGTTAGTTATGTTCCTTACTAGTTTCCCCCACCTCTGTTTTTCTTCAGTGTCATGAGGCAGCTTCCAAATCTTATCTCATTCATGTTTCCTTTAGTTCCTGGATGCCTTTCTCTTTTCTTATTTGGGACTGTATGTGGATTTATCGTGTCAGTTTCTTGATCACAGGTTCAAAAATTAACCCTCTTGCAGTGGATTGATGCAGGTATCAGATGGCCATTTGGCATGGGTTAAATGCACCACCAGCTACTCCTTCCAAGGCCAGATCCAGAAATAGAGGAAAGCCAAACTACATGTTCTCCTCCTTGAACAATTGATGATTTCTTCATCAAATCCTGGTCCTTCAGGCGCCAACATTGAAATTTCCCCAGGACCATCTGCCCAAAAGCCTCTGGCACTGCTTTTGGCAGAATCCTTACTCTAGAGGCTGTTCTCTGGTGCTGGGCTCTGGCAGGTGGTTCCAGCTTTCACCTTACTAGCCAAAGTATGAGAGTTTATAACCAAGTTAAGAAAGGGAATATATGAGTAATTAGAGATCTTCAAGATGTAGTGTCTGCTTACCCATTTATATCCCACCCTGTTCTCCTCATTCTTGGAGCTGGATGCAGTTAGGGCACTGCAGCTGAGAGGAAACTGAGGAGCCTGAAGTGTGCACTGCCATTTGGCCTCTTGGTGAGGGGTTGTGGGGCCGGGGCACGTTCTGTGCGTACAGTTATGGCAAGAAAAGTTCCCGGTCAGCTCATGGTGAGACGTATTTACTAGTCGAGAATGTATATGTGGACACTGTCTTGAGGAACTCCAGTTACTGGAACTAACTTTTCTCAAAATTGCTAAGTCAAGGGACCAACAGTCTTCCTCCATATCTATTTGCCACAATGGGCATTGTAATGTTGTATTATAAATATTAAGTAATATAAAGAGCAGTGCAGACCATATTATAATTATGCCTGGGTTAAAAAAAACAGTTCTAAAATGGGAATATGATCATTTTTAAATTGAGTTTTATTAGACTAGTGCAAGTTTAAACGTGTATAGTATATACCTTTTAAATTGAATTTACCCTTGAATGTAATTTGTTGTTCTCAGGTAAACCTGAAGGTAAGAATCACTGACTGTCATGTGTAAAATGTTGTGCTTGCAATCAGGTTGACTTTTAATATATATATTGTTTGTTATTGAGGCTTAATAGTTGCTAGCATGATCAAGAGTGTACAAATCAGTTATGGAATATATTTTTATGCAGTGCTTGCATGTGTTTGCATCCATTATTTGCATAGGAAAACAGATTGATCATGCATATTGTTCAGGTAAAAGCAGTGTGGACCAATGGTTCCATTTCTCTGATAGCATTTTACTGTGACAGCTTGTTCAGGTCACTTTTTTCTTTTGTTTCCTCATCTAGAAAATGGGACCTGAGAGATTTACCTTTCATTATAAAGTGCTTTAAAATATATGGATGAAAACCTCATATTATTAATTTATAAAGACCATATTTTCATAAGGGCTGTGATTTACTACTTTAGATAAAAGAAGGAAAAAAAATGTCGTCTTTCTGTTAGACTGGAGGGGAAAAAAATCTAGTTAATATTTTTCTAAGTAAAAAAACATTTTGTGGTTATGTGAGCTAAGATTTCTCTAATGTTCCTACCTCCACAGAGTAGCCAGGCAACCGTGAAAAATCTGCAAGTTTTCTTTTCCTTGGGAAATGAATTGTGGTTTTTTTTTATTTTCTAGAACGTGGGTTTTGCACTCCATTCAGATAGTTTATAAGATGCTTCTAATGTCTAGTGAATTCTAGTTTGTGGGCTGCTGTGAAATGATCATTACTTGCCGGTTATCTCTCTCTAAAGTAACTGGTTTTGTGCTCTAGTCATAGGGTTTCCTCTAAGGCAATGGTTCTCAACCTGTTTGCCATAGTGGGCCACACTTGCAGCTTTCAATGTGTTATGTGGGCCGCACATTTATGTGTATCCAGTTAAAAATGTTTTAAAAGGATGTCACATGGGCCGCAGCAGTGTGCTGATTGGGCTGCCGGGTCGTGGGTTGAGAACCATTGCCTTAAGGAGTCATGGGATCGGGGCCAGACTGTTCCCTGATCTGTGACAGCTTCTTTAAAGAAAAAGCTGTAGACAGGTTAGCTAGATGTTAATCAGACAGCTACCTCTTTATTAGGTTAAACATTTAGGACACTGTAGGTAGGAAGCCTTGGGAGTTGTGGCTTGAGAAAGAAATAGGGCTGTATGAACTGCTTGTCTTTGTCTCCTTTCCTCATAGATAGTGTACAACTGTAAGACTGCAGGGAGCAACAAGCAACTTAGGAAAGCTAGAAAATAGAGAGAAAAGCCTCAACTTGGCCATGACTAAGGACTTTGCCTAAAGGATTCTGAGTTAGCTGAGGCCCAGAAATAGCATTCCTTTTCTTTTGGAGCTGAGTTTATTAGCAGAGCTTTAAAAGGTTTCTAAAATAGGAGCTGTTAGTGTTTCCCAAAGTGTGGGGCATGCCTGTTACAGGGGAGGGGGGGTGGGGCATGTGTAAACCATGGCCACAATTGGTGGCACCTCCTTCTTGAGCATCTGTTACCATTTTCCCTACTACTAATTACCAGTTGAAGGGCAGCAGCATGGAGCTGGGGCATGTGGTGGTGTGGGGCTCTGGCAGGGCACCAGTGTGGAGCTGGGGTTGTGTGATGGCATGGGGCTTTGGCTGGGGGGCAGCATGGGGCTGTGGCCAAACAGCAACATGGAGCCAGGGGCATGGAGTGGTGTGGTGGTCTGGTTGAGCAGTTGTGTGGAGCCATGGGCATGACAGCACAGGGCTCTCACTAGGTAGCAGCATGAAGCTGGGGACATGCTGCAGTGTGGGGCAGGGGCATGTGATGGCACAGGTCTGTGTCTGGGCAGCAGTGTGGGTCTGGAGGCATAGATTCATAAATACACAGATTGTAAGGGGCTGGAAGGGACCTCGCAAGATCATCAGGTCCAGCCCCCCCTGCACTAGGCAGGAAAGGCGACCGTCCAGTCTCCTCTTGAAGATTTCCAGGGTAGGCGATTGCATTGCCTCTGGAGGGAGTTTATTCCACTGTATGGACACCCTGACTGAAGTTTTTCCTAGACTTAAGCCTAAAATGGTCTTCCAGGAGTTTGTGGCCATTACTCCTGGTTTTTCCCAAGGGTGCCTCCGTGAACAGTTGTTCACCGAGCCCTTTATGTATTCCCCTGATGTAGCAATAAGCTGCTATCAAGTCCCCTCTCAGCCTTCTCTTTTTTAGGCTGAAGAGGCCCAAGTCCCTCAGCTTTTCCTCGTATGGCTTACCTTGCAAGTCTCTGATCATATGGGTGGCCCTTCTCTGGACTCTCTCAAGCTTTTCTGCATCCTTATTGAAGTGCAGTGCCCAGAACTGGACACAGTACTCCAGCTGTGGTCTCACCACTGCTGAGTAAAGCAAAAGAATCACTTCCTTGGTTTTACTTGAGATGCATCGGTTGATGCATGCCAGAGTATTGTTTGCCCTGCTGGCTACAGCATCGTACTGATAGCTCACATACATTCTATGGTCTATTATTACCCCTAGGTACCTTTCAGTAGTGGTGCTAGTTCAAATTGGCACCACCAAGCCTGTAAGTATGTTGGGGATTGTTTGTCCCCAGATGGAGCATGTGGCAGAGTGCATTTGGGCAGCAGCACAGAGCTGAAGGGCTGTGCTGATTATCATGTCCATCTGGGTCCAGGGACCCCAAATTCTGTGGCAGGCCTTACCCCCCCAACTTTGGTAGTCCATAGGACTACTAGCAGGCCACATGAAATGGTTCTGTGGGTTGGATCCAGCCTGCAGGCCATATGTTTGACACCTGGTTTAGGGTACAAGAAAATGTTAAAGAGATCTGTCATAGAAATTAACACAGTGGTGCTTTTTTCCTCAGTTAAACTGTAATTATAAAATATGACAGCAGGATGAATTTTCATTTATTTACACGTTCCACTGGATAGAAGTACCCATGAATTATTATTTCTATTCAGAACAGTGGGTCCAATACAAGAGAACTAATATTGCTTTTTGGGGACAAGTATTACTAAAGAAAATATTTTTAGGAAATAGTAAATTTGTAGCTAGTAGAGAAATGATGTTGATTGTAAAATGTTTGTCTGATATCTAAACAATATGAACACCGCTATTTAACACCAAACTAACTTTGGAGTCTTTACCTTTGTGAATAAGAAATAAGGATTGCAAGATCAGATCCTATGTGAAAATACCATTTTTCTTTGTAGCCACTATTGATTTCATGTAAGAATTGTGTGTTTGCATAGACAGTAAATTAGCATGCAGATGTCTAAATACTTCTTAACTATAATATTAAAGAATGGGAAACGGTACTTCTGAAAACTGCAGTCTGGAATTATGCCATTCCCCTTTATCATGGCTATTTGGCATTCTATTAAAAAACAAGTTTAAATTTACATGTTTACTTTCCTGCATAACTTTTGTTTGGTTATACTTAAATATTGGTATTTTCCAGTTAATGCTAATCCATGTGATTTAGCATGCAAAAATATGTTTTTGCTTTTATCAAACCAGCACAAAATGCAGTTTCTGCTGGCTTTTATGACATTGCCAGCTGTTGCAAGCAACAGCATCCTTATATAATAATTAGAAGACTATAATGATTATAAAAATAGACTGAACAGAACATTAGTCAGTATGCCAAATAGAAATACACAATTTAAGAATGTTTCTACATTTGCAGAGTGAGAATCATCTAGGTAAGTTCCTTTCATTTCTAAATGCTGAGTCAGCAACAAAGTAAACAATTTTTGTTTCGCTAGGTACAATTCAGATCCAAAAACGTCAGCAGTTGGTGGAAAAGACGCATGAAGATGAGCTGAATGGAATGAAGGATGACCTGTATCAATGCCAACAACAGCAAGAAGTAAAAGGAGACCATAAAGTAGGGGTATGTGTGATTTTAAATATGGTTCAATGGAGACTATACTCTCATTGTACATGTGTAGTGCACTGGATCACTGACCAAGAATTGATGGAGAAGATATTATTTGTCTTAGTTGCCTGAAACAAATGATTGTTTTCACCTTCTGAAGCTTGGCCAGTCTCAGGTTAGCAGATTTGATGAAAATTAAGGGTATAAATGGTATGTTGGGGTGCTCAAGCCACAGCCCATGCGTCAGATCCAGCCCACAGAACCATGACATGCAGCTTGCAGGTATCCCCACTGGTCTGAAAATTTGACACTGGGGGAGGAGTGCCAGCAATCGCCACCCCCCTGCTGCCAAATTTCTGGAGCCTTGGGGAGACCTTCCAGTGGGATAGTATGTTAGATCAGTATGTGGATGTGGCCCAGGGCTCAATCTGAGCACATAGGGGCCAGCTGGAGGTGGTGTGGAGCACAATTCTGCAGCACAGGGCCAAGTAGAGGCAGTACAGGTTTCCCTCGATTTATGCTGTACACGCGCTCCCAGAGAATGGTGCATAAATCGAATTTGCATAAAACAAACCCATGTTACATAGAATCATAGAAGTAGGGTCGGAAGGGACCGTGTACATCTTCAAGTCTGACCCCCTGCCTGGGCAGGAGAGAAACTGGGCTCAAGTGACCCCAGCCATGTAGGCATCGAGCCGCTTCTTAAAGACCCCCAGGGTAGGAGCCAGCACCACTTCCCTTGGAAGTCAGTTCCAGATCCTAGCCGCCCTAACTGTGAAGTAGTTCTTACGGATGTCTAATCTGAACCCCCTCTCCAACAACTTGTGGCCGTTATTTCTTGTTATCCCGGGGGGCGCTGGGGGAAACAAGGTCTCCCCCAACTCCTTCTGGCCCCTAGTGAGTTTATAGATGGTCACAAGGTCCCCCCTCAGCCTTGTGAATGTTACAATGTAACAAATAGGGATAGGTTCCCATGGCCGTGAGGGAGTGAGGCTGGGACTAGGGAAGGAGCGGGGGGAGGGGTGCTGCTCCCGGGGCTGTACAAGGCAGCAAAATAGAGGGAACAGAGTGGCACTTACCCCAGCCCCGGCTGGAGCAGCCTCGGGGGTGGCCAGCGCCAGCTGCTTGAAGCCGCTGGGCTGCACCATGCTTCACCTGTCCCCACTCATCTCTGCTCCTGGGCTGCGCCATGCCCTGGTGCAGGCAGCTGGTGTCAGCTGCTCCCAGGGCAGCTGCAGCCAGGGCTGGGGTGAGTGCTGCATCCTGCGCTGCCTGGGGCTCTGCTTGTCCACACTCACCCCAGCCCATGCGGGAGCAGCCCTGGGAGCAGCCAACACCAGCTGCCTGCACCACGGCACAGTGCAGCCCAGGAGCTGGAGTGAGCCCAGGTGTGGGGGGACAGACAGAGCATGGTGCAGCCTAGCGGCTGCGGGGGGGGCGGCGGCG